CTAGAATATTTTCATTTATTTGCTTATATACTGTGCAACAAATGAATGTCAATTCATTCTTTTTAATAAATGATTTCTGTTTTATGGGTGTTTATTCAGTTGCGCTCACATATTTCAAATTGCACATCTCATTTCGTTTGTTGCACAGTATATAAGCAAATAAATGAAAATATTCTAGCTTAAATAGATTGATAACTTATTTGGTTATAAACTAGTCACGCATTATCCACAATACTGGAAGAACTGAAAACATAGTCCAAGAAACATAAAAGTCGATTTTCGAAAGTGAATCTTGAGGTGTGTGGCTCGTTGAATAAGCATCCTGTAGTGTCACCATACCCAAACCGGTTAAAATATTCGAAAGGTTTTGGCATATAATTGAAGCCGAGAGGCAACTTAATCGAGAGGCGCATAAATCCGATGACTCCGTTGTTGCCTTGCGGAAGTGCTTCGAGGTGAACATAAGTCCAATTTGTTGCATATTCAACGATACTTCTCCATCAAGACATAAATCGAGAGGAAGGAAACCAATCATATCAAAGCAAGACGATGGTTGTATTGGGTCGTAGCAGAGGACAGTTGGACAAAATCAATCTGGAGGATAGTCCGGGCTGATTAGCCGTTTTTCCTCACGCTTTCGTTTGGAAAATGATGGCTCAATTTAAAATGCAACTGACGCCACGTGATATAAAGCCATTGATGAACGTCCAAGAAAGGAGTGCACGTACTGATTTTACCAACAAATTCAAACCACGTCGCCCATCCATTTGGCAATGGATTTATCTCAATGATGGCCAACGAGTAATTCAGCATGTGGTGAAAGCTGATCTAGTGAGCTAGTTTTCTAATGAATTTCGTTTTACCTGTCAAAAGAAGTAAATATTCATCCCGCCTGACGACTTAGGACGGAAGTAAATACTGAGTGCCATGTTATTGGTCTCCTGTGCACACCAATCTGAATAACGCAAAATGTTTTGCACTGATAAGGGAGTCTTTCGGTAACTGCTACTCATTAAATGCATTCACGGAAGTCATATTTTTCACAGATGAAGGTTGGTATCTCTCCTCGCTTGAGGTTTGTAGCGGGAATCCGTTGGACCTGATTAAATATAATTTTTCACATTTATGCAGTCTCTGGAGGGGTCAAGTTCAAGACCAAATTCGTTCAATACCGCGCAGTAGCTGGAATTTTAATTTAATCGAAAACTCTTCCCTGGATCAGAATTAGGGATAGGTCAGCTGCCTCGACATCGGTCGTCATTGGTTAGGGTATGGAGTGTATTAGAGGAAACTGACAAATTCTGTTTGGCGGTCAATTTGGTAGACTCCGTGCTAAAGCGACTGCCTCCAGTGCTCAAAAATGAAGAAGGGCAAATGGAACATGGACGAAATGAAATTACAATATCTGTATGAAGCCTAGGAATAATTATAATAAATAAATTCTAGTTACATTTTCTATTGCACCTTTGTTATTTTACAACTGATGCACCAGCGACCATCGTCAAATTCGCGTCAAATCGTACATTTTAATGACATGTGGCTGATAGAAGCAAAGACATAAGTGGGTATTATATCAGATATCTTGCGTCTGATGTGGGGTGATAGCATATTGAATCTCGTATGTGAGGCTGGAAAAACGATCATAGAGAGGAAAAAATGTGATGAAAATCAGCATGTTGGTTATATATATATATATAATTGGATATATATATGTATATATATATATAATTAGATATATATATATATTTGTGAGTATGTGTTCGTGTGTGTGTATTTTGTGATGTATTGACCGAACAAGTAAGAGAATGGTTCGTTTGTTAAATCATTGTAGGTGGTTTCTCTTTGATCAGTTGTATCTTCGAAGGCGAATATTTTTTTCAATTATTATCTCTCAGAACT